CTATACTATAGTCCAGACTATAGTCTATACTATAGTCCAGACTATAGTCTATACTTCAGTCCAGACTATAGTCTATACTTCAGTCCAGACTATAGTCTATACTTCAGTCCAGACTATAGTCCATACTATAGTCCATACTATAGTCCAGACTATAGTCCACACTATAGTCCAGACTATAGTCCATACTATAGTCCAGACTATAGTCCATACTATAGTCCAGACTATAGTCTATACTATAGTCCAGACTATAGTCTATACTATAGTCCAGACTATAGTCCATACTATAGTCTATACTATAGTCCAGACTATAGTCTATACTATAGTCCAGACTATAGTCTATACTATAGTCCAGACTATAGTCTATACTATAGTCCAGACTATAGTCTATACTATAGTCCAGACTATAGTCTATACTATAGTCCAGACTATAGTCTATACTATAGTCCAGACTATAGTCTATGCTATAGTCCAGACTATATTCTATGCTATAGTCCAGACTATATTCTATGCTATAGTCCAGACTATAGTCTATACTGTAGTCCAGACTATAGTCTATACTATAGTCTGTACTATAGTCCAGACTATAGTCTCTAATATACTCCAAACTATAGTCTATATTAATGTCTGGACTAAGGTCTATACTATAGTCCAGACTATAATCTATACTAAAGTCCAGACTATAGTCTATACTAAAGTCCAGATTATAGTCTATAGTCTATACTAAGGTCCAGATTATAGTCTATACTATAGTCCAGACTATAGTCTATACTATAGTCAAGACTATAGTCTATACTATAGTACAGACTATAGTTTATACTACTATATAATCCAGACTATTGTCTATACTATAGTCCAGTCTATATAGTCAGAGTTTGTCCCGACTACAGTCTTGTCTACAGTCTTAACTGAAGTCTTTACTATATTCCTGACTATAGAGTATATTTTTTGGAAAATTAATGTTTCTAATTTCCTATTCCCTGTTGTTATCAACGATATTTTAAAACTTTTGCATTTGAGATTTACGTTTTTTTTTTTGTTTGTTTTCAAAACTACATTAGTAGTGTCATTCAAAGGATGTTTAAGTAAAATTTTCTTTTGACTAAAATCGTACACAACCCTGAAATATTATGTGTCCTTCGCTTTATATACAATTTACATCCTTTGTTGAAATTGTTATTTTTTCATAAAAATACTTTTTTTTGTTTTATATACTTGATTGTGACTGCAAAAATAATAAAAAAATATGAAAAATTACATTTAAAGAGTTTTTATAACATAGTTCGTGAGCCTTGTTTTCAAAATTGAACTTCCTCTTTATCCTTTTATTTAGTTTTATGTATTTGTGTGTGAGTACATTAACACAAACACATATTTTCTGTCTGACGGAACATCATATTGTTCATAAATAAATAAATGCATTTTTATAACATTTGGTTTCTTCTTGTTTTTTGCGTTTTATAATATACTTTTTTTATTATAAATGGTAGTTTTATGATAATAAATGTAAAAGTTTCAAGTACTACACCATTTCGTATTTAATTTTAGAATGAACATTTCTTTGATGTGATAAGCCTGAATTTAACATACAATTGGAAATGGTGTATTTATTCTCTTTTGCTATATTTTATTCCTCTTACAATTTAAAGGTTAAATGATGATTGATGATAATTTGTTTTTTCGCATTCAACATTGTGTAAATTTTTTTTAAACTAAGAACAATTTTACAGAATAAAATTAATGAAAATGTTAAAAAACTGTTGTCTAAGATGAACATGAATAAAGTAGAATAATGCTTAGAGCTATTAAAATGCAAAAAGTTTTACTTTTAATTGAAAGTAGTTAGTATTAGGGGGCTTACTCCTACTACCACTACTCAGAGCATTATGTTGTTATTGGGGAAATAAGTTAAGTAAAGTTGGATAAAGAGAGTGGTGTTTCTTGATGTTAGACTTAACTTTCATTTAACTATAATCCAGACTTAACTATGGTCCAGAATATAGTCTATAGTCTAGACTATAGACCAAAGTCCAGACTATAGTCTGAACAAGAACTGAACTATAACTGAACTATAACTGAACTAGAACTGAACCAGAACTGAACTAGAACTGAACTAGAACTGAACTAGAACTGAACTAGAACTGAACTAGAACTGAACTAGAACTGAACTAGAACTGAACTAGAACTGACTAGAACTAGAACTGAACTGAACTAGAACTGAACTAGAACTGAACTAGAACTGAACTAGAACTGAACTAGAACTGAACTAGAACTGAACTAGAACTGAACTAGAACTGAACTAGAACTGAACTAGAACTGAACTAGAACTGAACTAGAACTGAACTAGAACTGAACTAGGAACTGAACTAGAACTGAACTAGAACTGAACTAGAACTGAACTAGAACTGAACTAGAACTGAACTAGAACTGAACTAGAACTGAACTAGAACTGAACTAGAACTGAACTAGAACTGAACTAGAACTGAACTAGAACTGAACTAGAACTGAACTAGAACTGAACTAGAACTGAACTAGAACTGAACTAGAACTGAACTAGAACTGAACTAGAACTGAACTAGAACTGAACTAGAACTGAACTAGAAACTGAACTAGAACTGAACTAGAACTGAACTAGAACTGAACTAGAACTGAACTAGAACTGAACTAGAACTGAACTAGAACTGAACTAGAACTGAACTAGAACTGAACTAGAACTGAACTAGAACTGAACTAGAACTGAACTAGAACTGAACTAGAACTGAACTAGAACTGAACTAGAACTGAACTAGAACTGAACTAGAACTGAACTAGAACTGAACTAGAACTGACTAGAACTGAACTAACTGACTAGAACTGAACTAGAACTGAACTAGAACTGAACTAGAACTGAACTAGAACTGAACTAGAACTGAACTAGAACTGAACTAGAACTGAACTAAACTGAACTAGAACTGAACTAGAACTGAACTAGAACTGAACTAGAACTGAACTAGAACTGAACTAGAACTGAACTAGAACTGAACTAGAAACTAGAACTGAACTAGAACTGACTAGAACTGAACTAGAACTGAACTAGAACTGAACTAGAACTGAACTAGAACTGAACTAGAACTGAACTAGAACTGAACTAGAACTGAACTAGAACTGAACTAGAACTGAACTAGAACTGAACTAGAACTGAACTAGAACTCTGAACTAGAACTGAACTAGAACTGAACTAGAACTGAACTAGAACTGAACTAGAACTGAACTAGAACTGAACTAGAACTGAACTAGAACTGAACTAGAACTGAACTACTGAACTAGAACTGAACTAGAACTGAACTAGAACTGAACTAGAACTGAACTAGAACTGAACTAGATCTGAACTAGAACTGAACTAGAACTGAACTAGAACTGAACTAGAACTGAACTAGAACTGAACTAGAACTGAACTAGAACTGAACTAGAACTGAACTAGAACTGAACTAGAACTGAACTAGAACTGAACTAGAACAGAATTAGAACTGAACTAGTCAAGATATAGTCCAGACTATAGTCTATAGTCCACACTATAGTCCAGTCTAGATTATACCCTATTACCCACACAATTTGTTGATTGCTAAACGAGTTTACCAACTGATGAATTGTTTATTAAACTTTCATTAATATGCCTTTTATGGCGATTTATTTTTTTAACCCAATACTTCCCCTATTGTTTTGTTACAAATAAAGTTCAATATTATCTTAAAGAAATCTTGAAAGAAAGAAAGTTTTAAACTTTTAATAAATTTGTTATTTGCTTTCTGAGAACTTGTTAGTAACACGTTTTCAGTTTTACAACAAGTCTTGAAATTTTACTTACTCTACAGCTTGACTTGATTGAAAAGTATCAAATATTTTTTGTCTTCAAAGCTCTCCTAGTGTTTAAGAAAATGAAAAGTTTAAATAAGAACTTTTTCACTAAGAGGTTGTTGTTTGTTGCTTGTAAAAGTGTGTTATATTGATATTTAAGTACATATTTTATAAAAGTATAAAATAATAAATCAACAAAAAACCCCCAACTGAGTATTTAGAAAAATTGTTATTGCTTTTCTTCCATCTTTGGCCAAGGAATAACTTTGCATATTTCATAACTGCTTAAAAGTATACTAAAAATTTTGAAGTGAAATTAATTTACCTAGAAGTATGCAATCAATTTTATACTTATATAGGAATATAATAATAATAAAACTTGTAAATAAAGTGTGTTTAACAAAAAAATTCTATTAAATTAATAAAGAATTTTTAGGCTTTAAATGTGATTAACTCTTAATTCATGTTAATTTTTGTTAAACACACTTAGGTACATACATTCTTATGAACCGTTTTTCACACAACCTTTTATCCTTTATTTTAACGCCTTAACGTATGCTTTATAACTTGTGTTTTTAATTATTAACAGTCTGTCTGTTTTACGTTTCAATCCCTTTCATTGTTATTTTAAATTATCCATTTCTCTTACTTTCTTTTTTGTGTCGTTTTTTTTCTTGTTAATTTTGCCTTTCAGGATTTAGCTTAACACATAAAATAATTTGTTCTTCCTCGTTCACGTAAACTATTTGAAAATAATCTTTAGTTATTTTATTTCAATCTCATCTCATAATTTTCCCGTTTTATTATAAACTTTTAATTATTTTCGCATGTTTCATGTTCATGTTCATTGGCATTCAGTTTCTGATGTTAAGCTAAAAGTTTAACGAGTTCAGTAAGCAAAACAATTTTTTAATATTTTGCGCGGAATACATATTTTACTTTACAAACCTCTGGCAATGGGGAAGTAAATTTTAAATATTTTGTAGTTTAGAGCAAATTTTTTAAGGATTAAGAATTTAGTATAACAAAAGTGTATTAATGGGTTTTAATAGTCAATTGTGTGTTTAGCAGTTAATTATTGCATAAATTTAAATTGTTTAAATGATATTTTACTTAAAGCTATAATATAGTCTTTATTTTAATTTTCTTATTATTTTCTCTTCTTTCAGTTTTTATGCTGTCAAAATATCAAATTGTTTCTAGATGTGTGTCGAAATCATTTTAAATTAAGAGAATCTGATCTATTTGAGCCAAATATGCTGTATGATTTAACAAATTTCCATCGTGTTTTAATTACTCTCTCCAAATTGTCACAATGTGCTAAAGTACAAAAATTACATCCCAACTTAGAGTAAGTATTATGTTCTAAAGTAAGATGTTCTTTGGAGATAGAGTACTACTTAGAACTAAAGTAAAGTGGAACTGAACTAGAAGTGAACCGGAACTGACTAGACTGAACTAGAACTGAACTAGAACTGAACTAGAACTGAACTAGAACTGAACTAGAACTGAACTAGAACTGAACTAGACTGAACTAGAACGAACTAGAACTGAACTAGAACTGAACTAGAACTGAACTAGAACTGAACTAGAACTGAACTATAGAACTGAACTAGAACTGAACTAGAACTGAACTAGAACTGAACTAGAACTGAACTAGAACTGAACTAGAACTGAACTAGAACTGAACTAGAACTGAACTAGAACTGGAACTAGAACTGAACTAGAACTGAACTAGAACTGAACTAGAACTGAACTAGAACTTGAACTAGAACTAGAACTGAACTAGAACTGAACTAGAACTGAACTAGAACTGAACTAGAACTGAACTAGAACTGAACTAGAACTGAACTAGAACTGAACTAGAACTGAACTAGAACTGAACTAGAACTGAACTAGAACTGAACTAGAACTGAACTAGAACTGAACTAGAACTGAACTAGAACTGAACTAGAACTGAACTAGAACTGAACTAGAACTGAACTAGAACTGAACTAGAACTGAACTAGAACTGAACTAGAACTGAACTAGAACTGAACTAGAACTGAACTAGAACTGAACTAGAACTGAACTAGAACTGAACTAGAACTGAACTAGAACTGAACTAGAACTGAACTAGAACTGAACTAGAACTGAACTAGAACTGAACTAGAACTGAACTAGAACTGAACTAGAACTGAACTAGAACTGAACTAGAACTGAACTAGAACTGAACTAGAACTGAACTAGAACTGAACTAGAACTGAACTAGAACTGAACTAGAACTGAACTAGAACTGAACTAGAACTGAACTAGAACTAGAACTGAACTAGAACTGAACTAGAACTGAACTAGAACTGAACTAGAACTGAACTAGAACTGAACTAGAACTGAACTAGAACTGAACTAGAACTGAACTAGAACTGAACTAGAACTGAACTAGAACTGAACTAGAACTGAACTAGAACTGAACTAGAACTGAACTAGAACTGAACTAGAACTGAACTAGAACTGAACTAGAACTGAACTAGAACTGAACTAGAACTGAACTAGAACTGAACTAGACTTGAACTAGAACTGAACTAGAACTGAACTAGAACTGAACTAGAACTGAACTAGAACTGAACTAGAACTGAACTAGAACTGAACTAGAACTGAACTAGAACTGAACTAGAACTGAACTAGAACTGAACTAGAACTGAACTAGAACTGAACTAGAACTGAACTAGAACTGACTAGAACTGAACTAGAACTGAACTAGAACTGAACTAGAACTGAACTAGAACTGAACTAGACTGAACTAGATAACTAGAACTGAACTAGAACTGAACTAGAACTGAACGAGAACTGAAATAGAACTGAACTAGAACTGAACTAGAACTAAACATTTTTATTAATATACATTTTTTTCATATTTTACAGAGGTTTTAATTTACCCTTATCACCAAGTGAAAGATCTCATTCCGATGAAGCCATATACAAAGATTTACATTCAACGTAAGTACCAAAGTACATAATTCACAAAACATATTATAAAAAATTTGATTTAAGTTTAAACGTCTTTATTAATAACATTTTTTTTAAATTTTAAAAAATCGTAGTTTTTAGGATTTTTTAATAAAGTTATATACCTACATATATCAGATTTCTATCTACTGTCTATAACTCTCTCTCTCTATCTCCATCTCTCTCTCTCTCGCTCTCTTACTTCCCACTAATTTTCGCAACTCTAAAAAATATGCTTTGAATTTTAAATATTTGAAATTGTTTAAAATAAAATACTATTCAATAAAATAAACTCAAAATCCTAAAGTGATATTAAGAAAAATGGCAGTTTGGATAATCCCTCCGAATATTATGATCACACTTCACAAAGTGGTTCTATATCAGTAGAAGATGAAAACAGTGATATAACAATAGAAAATGAAATGGGCACCGAAAATACCGATGACTATGAAGATGACAACTTTTCGGCCTTAAGTGAAAATATTGAAGAAGAATCACTATCGGGCGGTGCAAATGGCAGTGGCAATGAAAGTATCAATGCACCCACAAACAATTCACCTAGTATAGTGCGTCCGGCACGTTCTAACAGCACAACAGCACCACCCTTAACTACACGTTCAATTTCTTCATCTGCCATGGGAGTAGGTGGTGGTTATGGCATGGGTTCCACTTCCTCACGGCATCGTTTGTACAATATGTCTGCGGCGGCCATTGATAGAAATCAAAATTTACAAAATGTTGCTGCTGCTGTTTATAACTATCATGTGGTCAGCAAAGAAGTTGGACATGAATATCTAAATGACATTTATTCGGAGGAAGATGAAAAAGTCTATGAAGATTTATGTTATGTCACGTTCTCATCAAAAGTCTCCGAGGTGTGCATACAACTACTATTTCCATTAATATAAAACAATAATATATAAAATCACAAACCCTCAGCTACTATTTGGTGTTGGATGTTGTAAATGAAAATCAAAAAGGAACCAGAAAATGTTTTCTGGTGTTGCTGGGTGTTGCTTTATATTTTCCTTTCTGTTTGTGATCTCAGTTTAAAGCTAAAAAGTAGTTGTAGTGCCTGTTTACAGTATTTAGCTTTTTGCTTTTTTTTTTCTATTTTATTTAAAAATAATATTTATTTTATTTATTTCTTTACTTCCTTTTGAATCATTATCCTTTTAGTCTCCCAAGTTGCTGTAGGCCAGCACAACAGTAATCCATTAAATATTTATTTTTCACAGTTTTTAATCAGAACTGCTTGTTTCTCCCATTACGGTTGTTGTATTGCTCCAGGTCTTGTTTTTTTTTTAACGTTTAATTCCTTTGTTTCCTTTTGCTAATCAAATTCAGGATTTAAAGCAAAATAAATTCAACAAGATACATATTGTTGTATTTTTGCTTATATATCATTTTTTTTTTTAAGGATTTTTTACACGTCTTTGCTTTATGGCGTGTTTTTTCTATAATCCCGCATTTTCTTGTTAAATATTTTTTTTACATTAATTTCAAATTCAGCTTTTATTCTAATTAATGACACTTGCTGTTAAACGTAGTGTATTTAACCACAACCATTTTGTTTTTATAAAATTTAAAAACAATTACATTTATTTCAAGTGTAATTCATATAAATGTAATTAATTGCATTTAAGAAGATTTTATGGGGCAAAAGAGCTAAATTAGAAAAGCGGCAACTAAATTAGAACTTAACTAGAACTGAACCAGAACTGAACTAGAACTTAATTAGCACTGAACTAGAACTTGATTAGAATTAAACTAGAGCTGAACTTGAACTAGAACTGAGTTAAAACTGAACTAGAACTAAACTAGAACTGAACCAGAACTGAATTAGAACTGAACTAGAACTAAACTAGAACTGAACTAGAACTGAACTAGAACTGAACTAGAACTGAACTAGAACTGAACTAGAACTGAACTAGAACTGAACTAGAACTGAACTAGAACTGAACTAGAACTGAACTAGAACTGAACTAGAACTGAACTAGAACTGAACTAGAACTGAACTAGAACTGAACTAGAACTGAACTAGAACTGAACTAGAACTGAACTAGAACTGAACTAGAACTGAACTAGAACTGAACTAGAACTGAACTAGAACTGAACTAGAACTGAACTAGAACTGAACTAGAACTGAACTAGAACTGAACTAGAACTGAACTAGAACTGAACTAGAACTGAACTAGAACTGAACTAGAACTGAACTAGAACTGAACTAGAACTGAACTAGAACTGAACTAGAACTGAACTAGAACTGAACTAGAACTGAACTAGAACTGAACTAGAACTGAACTAGAACTGAGTTAGAACTGAACGAGAACTGAATTATAACTGATCTGGAACTGACCTTAAACTAAAAAAAAAACTGAATTAGAGCTGAATTAGAACTGAACTAGAACAGAGCTGATCTATAACTAAACTAGAATTGAACCAGAACTGAACTAGAAGTTAATTAGCACTGAACTAGAACTTGATTAGAATTAAACTAGAGCTGAACTTGAACTAGAACTGAGTTAAAACTGAACTAGAACTAAACTAGAACTGAACCAGAACTAAATTAGAACTGAACTAGAAGTGAACTAGAATTAGAACTGAACTAGAACTAAACTAGAACTGAACTAGAACTGAACTAGAACTGAAATAGAACTGAACTAGAACTGAACTAGAACTGAACTAGAACTGAACTAGAACTGAACTAGAACTGAAATAGAACTGAACTAGAACTGAACGAGAACTGAATTATAACTGATCTGGAACTGACCTTAAACTGTACTAGAACTGAACTAGAACTTAATTAGAATTAAACTAGAGCTGAACTTGAACTAGAACTGAGTTAAAACTGAACTATAATCTAAACGAGAACTGAATTATAACTGACCTAGAACTGAACTTGAACTGTACTAGAACTAAACTATAACTGAACTAGAACTGAATTAGAACAGAACTAGAACTAAAACTGAAATAGAACTGAACTTGAAATAAACTAGAACAAAACTATAACTAATCTAGACTTGAACTACAAATGAAGTAGAACTAAACTAGAACTGAAATTAAATTGAACTCGAATATATGTAACTAGGACAGCATTAAGACCGTATTAGAACTTTTAATCGTATTTTAAATATCTTACTCAATTCCCATTAACTACATTAATAGTTCCTTTCATGATAAACGAGTAAAAAAGTTTATTTGCAGATGAAATAGTATAATTATTAAGTTTCACATACAAATGAATCTAATCGAAAGTAACCACAATCAATGCTTTTTACTAGCTTATGTAGAAAACAAATTGCAATGGGAGATTATTTCCTGGAAAATGGTCCTTGAATTTGTTTATTTGTTTTAAAAACTATTATATTTTATGTACAGCATCCTTTTTTTACTTAAAAAACAACACATTTAACTTATAATCACCATATTTGTTTTTTATTCAAAGAATTTAGAAGTTTTAATTTGTTTTGTGTAAAAAAAAATAACAATTTTAAACATTCAAAAATAGTTAGTTATAGCTTTTCAATTTAAATAAATTTGTTTGTAATTGATTTTTAGTTGCATAAGTAAATAGTTGAATTTTTCGTTTAGTTTACAATCTATTGATTTCCATGAGTAGCTGTAGGAATATTTAAATTACTGTCATCACTTTGATTTCCATCATCATCATCTTCTGAATCACTGCTTAACATTTTACCCAGACTAGAGGTGACAGTAGTTACCGTACCCACCAGGGGTGTCACATCAACATAAGGATATTCGACTTTAACTATCTGACTCATTACCTGTAGAATGGCATCGAAACGTTTTTCCAAACGTCTATTGAAACGTCTCTTATGACGGTAATACTTATCACGTTCACTTAAACGGGTCTTTGCGGTTGATGTTGTTGTTGGTTGTTGTTCCATATTGTGTGTTAGATTACTTTGGGTACTAGTCGAGGGCATGTCGTTGAGAAATGCTTGATCGTGAATCTCTTCCTTGATCACTAAACTTTCAGTTTGTGTAATATTTTCTGATTTGATTTCAAATGTTTGGCCATTACCATCACGTACTGTTAACATGTTTAATGGTGCTAAAGCATTAGTTGGATTAATGTTTGTTTGCAATATATCCACCACCATATTTAAAGAACCTTGGGATTCTTCACTGGCATCAGCAAAATAGTTAGATTGCTGTTCCTGTAATTCATCTTCTTCATGGTGTTTAACTTCTCCTACAATGTCTCCCAAAGAAGATCTCTTAGAATAGAAATCATGATCGGTATTTCTAACACAATTCATATTTTCATCCTCATCTTCACACTGACCTAGGGAACCATTAATAATTCTAGTAGTTTCAGTTATGACTTGAAATTCATCATTTGTATCACTGCTAAATAAATGTATGCCATCATCAATAGAAATATTATTATTATTATTGTTGTTGTTGTTGCTAGTGTTCGATTGTATAACTACTGTTGTATTATTTGGTATATTTTCTTTAGCACAGTCTTTTTGTATGATTATAGTTTCATTATGTAACAATTTCGTAGGAGTTTTAATTGTAGTAGTTTGATTTTGTTGTTCTTGTTCTGTTATTATTGAGGAGGTTTGTACCAGTTCCTCTTCGCCCGTATGTTCAAGATGTTCGTTATTACTGTTTTCCGTACGATGTGTTAAGGCGTATGAGTGTAAATTAGTAGTTTTGCGTGTCATGAATGCGTGAATTGGCCCGAAAAACTCCCATTCTTGATTGATGCGTTTTATTAGCTCGGCATCGATGGTTTTGGAGGCAATGTTACCCAAGCGTGTTTGCTAAAAAGGGAGTAAGTAAGAAGTGTTAAAAATAGTTTAGAGAACTGAACTAAAACTGAACAAGAACTAAACCAGAGCGGAACTTGAACCAGATCTGAATTATAACTGATCAAGAACTGAGGTGGAACTGAACAAGAATTGAACTAGAACTGTACTAGAAATGAATTAAAGCAGAACTGAACTACAACTGAAGTAGAACTAAACTACAACTGAACAAGGAATAAACCAGAACTGAATTAGAACTGAACTAAAACCGAACTAGAACTAAATCTGAACTGAAATAGACCTCAACTAGAACAGAACTATATCTGATCTGGATTAGAACTAAACTAAAACTAAGAACTAAACCAGAACTGAACTAGAACTGAAATAGACCTGAACTAGAACTATATCTGATCTGGAACGAAACAAGTATTGAACCAGAACTGTGCAATAACTTAAGAAGAACTGAACTGAACTAGAACAGAACTGAACAAAAACTGAACTAGAATTAAACTAGAGCTGAACTAGAATTAAACTAGAGCTGAACTAGAATTAAACTAGAGCTAAAATAGAATTAAACTAGAACTGAACTAGAACTGAAATAGAACTGAACTAGAACTTAACTAGAACTGAACTAGAACTAAACTAGAACTGAACTAAAACTAAACTAGAACTGAACTAGAACTAAAATAGAACTAAACTAGAAATGGACTAGAACTAAACTAGAGCTGAACTAGAACCGAACTAGAACTAAACTAGAACTAAACTAGAACTGAACTAGAACTGAACTAGAACTGAACTAGAACTGAACTAGAACTGAACTAGAACTGAACTAGAACTGAACTAGAACTGAACTAGAACTGAACTAGAACTGAACTAGAACTGAACTAGAGCTGAACTAGAACTGAACTAGAACTGAACTAGAACTGAACTAGAACTGAACTAGAACTGAACTAGAACTGAACTAGAACTGAACTAGAACTAGAACTGAACTAGAACTGAACTAGAACTTAACTAGAACTGAACTAGAACTAAACTAGAACTGAACTAAAACTAAACTAGAACTGAACTAGAACTAAACAAGAACTAAAATAGAACTAAACTAGAAATGGACTAGAACTAAACTAGAGTTGAACTAGAACCGAACTAGAACTAAACTAGGACTGAACTAGAACTGAACTACAACCGATCTCCAAATTAACTAGAAATGGATAGCCTTCTTTGTCAAAAATTTTCTTTTCACGTTTTCCACGTAATCTGTAGTTTGTTTGCTCTCTTCCTCGCTCTTTTCATACTCACCTTGTATTGTTTATAACGTGTCAACATATTGGACCATTGTTTTCTAACAAAAAACACATTGAAATCATCCAAATTGGCCGCTATTAAAATGTTCCTACAAAAAAAAAGATAATAATAATGTAAAAGTTGCAAACACCTTGCATTGATTATAAACCACATTTTTAACTTACTTCCAAGGCACCACACTGCTGGGTTTATTAGTAAACCAGGCATCATGAGCAATTCTTGCTTCCACTAATTTACGTTTCTGTTCTATGGTCCCTGGATTGGATAGATTTTACGAATAGAAATTTACTTGTTCATATAATTACTTTTTCTCAAACTTACATTTTTTCGAGATGCGTCTCTTGGCATAAGAATGCAGTTCCATTCTAAAAGAAATTCACTTTGGCCGTCTGTCCGTCTACTTCAATTCTTCTTTTTGTTGATTTTCTTTTAATTCTTTAGTTTTCATATTATTTTATTGTTTGTTGATTAAACATTTAGGTGAACTTATTTAGATGAATGTATTTTTTCAGATTTTTACTTAATTATTTCTCTGCCAAATTGATTTTATTATTTGTCCGTGTACACTGCTGCTGTATAATTTTGTTTGTGATGTGTTGTGTGTTTGATTTTCTTGGACCGAATGAATCTCATGTTTTTTACTCACATTTTCATTTTGAGGTTAATTTCTGCTGTTTCTTTTCATTTCTTTTTTTTGTGTGTGTTTTTTCTTTGTGTTGTTTTGAAAACAAATACAAAGAGCGCAAAGAGTTGTTCTCATTTTTTATTTTTGCTTTTTTTTTTGAATTTGTTTACATTTAGTAGCATAGAAAAGGTATACATAGAACTGAAACTGAGTATGACAAAACCTAAGTCTGCTGTCAAAAACCTAAGTCGTGAGAATGTATTAGTTGAAAAATATGTAACCCAACAAACACAAACTCTTTCGTTTAAAAAGTTTTTATATTTTTGTTTGATATTATATTTCGATATTTTATGAAATAATGTTTTGAATTAGCCATTTTTATTCAACATCAGTTGACCAATGTAAGAAAGATTTTCATTAAAAATTATTCTTAATTAACTCTTTTGTTTGCTGGGTTGAGTCAATATTGACACTTGATTAAAAAAATAAAAACGATTGAAAAATTTGTTTTTTTTTTTTTTCTGAAAATGTTTTCAATAATTTTATAGGAAAAACATAACTTTTAGCAGTGTTTATTGCAGCAGCAGGGGCTATTTTGCCAAAGGAATTATGCTAATGCTAAAATTAACGCTTGATATGAACGATTATTGTTAATTTCAAAGCAGCCCAAATGCAGTCAAAATACACCCTACACCACACTAATGGGAACGGCATTTCGTTTATGTCTTAAAGTTTGTAACACCTGCGTCGATGTAATGATGTAATCCGTCCATAAATTAGCCTATTGAACTTTTTTGTAAGCGGTACATGCTATACAAGAATAGGGTATTTATAAAATTCGACTCAACAAATTTTATATATACGAAATTTTGACTATATATTGTTATAATGAGTAGTACATTCATTAATTAAGCAAACATTAATCTCTTGAATATAACTTCTACATTAAAAAATACTAAATAACTTATTGCTACTTACTCGCAATGTGGTAGGGTATGATGTATTCGGATACATTTTGTACTTTCATAATTTTGTTATTTTATGTAAACAAAAATAAAAATACAGTAGTTTTTCGATTTAACGAACCTATATGTTGTCAGGCCTGTTCGTTAAATCGAAGAGTTCGTTATATGCATTACTAACTCGAAAGTGTCTTTTGGGTACATAAATAATTAAAATTACATAAAATCTAATTTATAAAAATATGTTCCAGGAAATATAATTTCTTTAGAAAATATTGTATAAGAATTTTATGAAAAACTAGCAATTTATATCACAATGTAAAAACAATAAAGAAATTTGAAAAAACTCAGTTTATTTCGTATAACTAATCTACGTTCTGGAAAAGCACTCGGATGACATAATTCTTAAAGAAGTTTAAACCCAATGGCTGGAACTGCGATGAATCTGAACCTGGCCTCAGAATTCCTTAGGAAATAGATTAATGTAAAGTTATTAAAGCGTTTCATTGTTTCACAGTTTCATTGTTTTCATTCTTTGAGATATCTGAACCCAAATTTTTTTAAAATATTTTTTCCTTTATTTCACAGCTATTCCTGTAAATATCCTTTTTCCAAAAGAAAAACTATTTATATTGTTTATTCTATAACATATCGTTTCTTACAATTTCTTAGAATTGATGTTTATTGGAAAAGATTATGGTCACAGTGGGGACTTGTTAGTTTGGCGAAAAATAAAAGCGAAATGTTAAGGTATACGATTGGCAATGTCTTTATTTTGAACACCAATTTCTATGATTTCAAATTCTGAGGCCAAATTCGGGTTGGGCACGAGCTTCTAGAAAAGTATACTTTGGCCTCTCTAAACATTTGTTGTTCCGATTTTCTAATTCGATCAACATTAGTTTTTGCGACATTAAGGATTGTAGATTTGATTATCTCATATTTTTGTATAAATCTTTAATAAAAAACTCAGATTATCTAGATTCTTCATTTTACTAAATTAGAAAAATCAACTCTCGAAATCCATATTCGAAAGCAATGGAAAAGTAAATACCCCTCCTAATAACGTCGAAGCTTTTCTGACATGATTTTTAGTTATTTTTGTTAATTTAACTATAATTTAAATTATTTTATTTATATTTGTTCGTTAAACTGAGTACAAAAAATATTTTTTGTTCGTTATGTAAGGTACTCAATGTAAAAATATTGATAGTTCGCTAAATGCGATGTTCGTAGAAACGAATGTTCGTTAAATCGGAAAATTACTGTACTCATACAATTGAATTAAATTCACACAGAACCTGTACATGTGAGAGAGTAATATTTCTTATTCTCAGTCTCAGTTCTATTTATTTTTCTATGTTTAGTAGTTTTTGTTTTGAATATATGCGAGTGCTGGTTGCATTTGAGAGATGACAATCAGCTGTTTACTTAGAGATGGTAAAGTTGTAGATAAATTTTCGATAAAATTACTGAAAATAAACGTTATTTAAATGATTTTTTTGTTTTTTGGTTTAAATTTTAGTAATTTTAAGTTAATTTATTTGATTAATAAGCCATTTTCATTAACAAAGCTTTTAATTTGCAAATTTCTTATTAATTCTTGTTTAAATATTGAAAAATCTAGTTTTAAAGCGTTTATAAGAAATTTTTAATTCTTGTTAATTTATTATTATATTGTTTTAATTTCAAAATTTAATATTTTATTTTTTATTTATTTTTTTCTTCTTTTTTTTTATGTAAAATTTTATGTATAATTTATCACCAAAAAAACTCACTATACTAGTACCACCGATAATGTTGCATGTAATGGTCATGTTGATGAACATATTAATACAAAAGAGGAAGAAGTTTATCAAGATTTATGTGCTTTACAAAGAACGAGTAGAACTCAGGTATTAATTTTTTATAATTTATTTTTAATTTCTCTTTTTATAATAGAAAAAAAGGCCATAGATGTATTAGCATGTTTTAATGTTTAGATTATTCTTCATCTTCTGGTAATGGTTTATTAATTTTTAGTTTAATTTCTTTTTAAATTATTTAGATTACTTCAGCCACCAGTTTTGAACAACGTGATTATGTTATACGTGAACTAATCGATACGGAATCGAATTATTTAGATGTTTTAAATGCTTTAAAAACTAAATTTATGGCACCACTGGAACGTTTATTAAAGCCAGAGGAAATTAAACAAATATTTCCAAGGATTAAGGTAATTTTTTTTATCAGACTACAGTTGTTCTATAGTTCAGGCTATAGTCAGCATATAGTCCAGTATGTAGGCAGTCTGTAGTCTAGACGATAGTCAGTCTATAGCCCAGACTGTAGTCAGTTTATAGTCCAGAATATAATCCTTATATAGTCGAGACTGTAGTCCATCTATAGTGCTGAATGTAATTAGTCTACAGTACTGAATATAGTCAGTTTACTAACTTATTTTATTCCCCTCTTTCCCAGGAACTAGCCGATATTCATACAAAATTTCTAGACAAATTACGAGAATCTCTACAGCCCAATGCTAAAATGAAAATGAGTCAAGTATTTTTAGAATTTCGTGAACCCTTCCTTATCTATGGTGAATATTGTTCATGTCTATTGGGTGCCATCGATTTTTTGGGTGATGTTTGTAAAAAGAATCAAATTGTCGAGGAATTAGTACAGGTTGGTATTCGAACTAAAAAAAAGTAAAAGAAAAATTAAGTAAATTCTCTTAATATATAATAAACAGAAATGTGAACGTGAATATAATGTGGGTAAACTGCAATTAAGAGATATTTTATCGGTGCCCATGCAGCGTATATTAAAATATCATTTATTATTGGATAAACTAGTCAAAGAGACCTCACCGGTAAGTGGTATAAACATTTTAAATGAAGTGATTTAGATTAGTAGATATTTTTCTTCTTTTTCAGATGCATGAAGATTATCGCTCTTTGGAAAGAGCTAAGGAAGCCATGATAGATGTTTCTCAGTATATTAATGAGGTTAAACGTGATTCGGATCATTTGGTGATTATACAAAAAGTCAAGGTAGTTTTTAAGATCAAGTATTAATGTGTGAAAACATTACATATCTGTAATATTGTAACTATCTCTTACAGGACAGCATTATCGATTTGAATCTCCTGCAAAACGGCAATGATCTCTTACAATATGGCCGCCTACTACTGGACGGTGAATTACACATTAAGGCACATGAAGATCAAAAAACTAAATTACGTTATGCCTTCGTTTTCGATAAAATTCTCATCTTAGTCAAACCTCTGCATGTCAAGACGGGCGATATGCAATATACATATCGTGATTCTCATAATCTAAGCGAATATTGGGTAGAACAAAGTCATTCAAGACGTACTATAGGACGTGATACACGTTTCAAATATCAACTTTTGTTAGCAAGAAAATCTGGTAAAACTGCTTTTACTTTGTATCTAAAATCAGAACCAGAACGTGATAAATGGCGTAAGGCATTAACAGAAGCTATGGAGAATCTTGATCCACCCGGTTGTCGTAACACGGACCATAAAATGGAAATATTTACATTTGATGCACCCACAACATGTCGCCATTGTTCGAAATTCTTAAAGGGTCGTATACATCAAGTGAGTTTTTGTTTATGGATTTAAATTAACAGATAAATAATCGCAATTTCTTTGTGATTTTAAAGGGCTATCGCTGTAAGGTTTGTGAGATTGCGGTGCACAAGGGTTGCATTTCTTCTACTGGTCGTTGTAAGCAAAATATTATTGCCATGCCGCCGCCAGTTTGTGATAGACAATTAGCCGAGTTTAATTGGTAAGTGAGGAGAAATAAGTACCAAAATTAACTTTTAGTTATAGATCAACTGATTAACTAAGTGGCGGAGTTATGTTTCCTGTTACTGTTATCTTCAATGATAAAAATTTCTTTACTTTCTTCGATATTTTTCTCATTAGGTTTGTGGGCAATATGGATCGCGAAACTGCTCAGTTGCGTTTAGAACATAGACGTGTTGGCACTTATCTATTAAGAGTACGACCACAAGGTGCATCTAATCCCAAAGAAACTATGTATGCTTTAAGTTTAAAGTAAGTTTTATTTTTTAACTGTTGTCAAATCGTTTAGATAAGTTATTAAATAATTGAAATATTTTCTTATAGAACTGATGATAATGTTATAAAACATATGAAAATAAATCAGGACACTATAGCGGATAATATTGTATATTGTCTGTCGTCGAGAAGACATTTTAAAAGTATTGTCGAATTGGTATCCTATTATGAACGCAATGATTTAGGGGAGAATTTTGCGGGGTAAGTTAGTAGTTGAGAGTTTTCAAAAGAAAATTTTCTTTTTTGCGAAATAATTTTATTAAACTTTTCATTTCACATAACATTTCCATATGAAAACTGTTATTTCACCATAAAATTAACATTTCACCCAAAAAGAGTATTATGTCCAGAAAACTAACATTTCACCAGAAAAAGATATTTTATCAAAATTGTAAAATTTCATCCGGAAACTGAGATTTCATCTGAAAACTGACATTTTATCTGAAAACTGACATTTTATCTGAAAACTAACATTTTATCTGAAAACTTACATTTCACCAGAAATCTGGCATGTAGTTTTTCGCCACAAAATATGTGTTTTACCACGAAACTAGTATTTCACCATAGAACTAATATTTCACCACAATATTTCACCTTAAAACTTGTTTTTCACCACAAAACTAATTTTTAACCTCAAAACTAGTTTTTTACCATAAAACTGGCATTTCACCTCAAAACTTGATTTTCACCACGAAACTAGTTTGTCACCTCAAAACTTATTTTTAACTTCAAATTTATATTTTCGCCTTAAAACGTTCACAAAACTAGTTTTTTGCGACAAATTTCGTCATTCGTCACAAAATTGAGTTTTCTCTTTAAAAGTTCTTCCCAAAACTAGTATTTCGCCACAAAACAAGTATTTCACCACAAAACTTGTTTTTCACCCCAAAACAGGTTTTCCATATTAAAACTAGATTTTCACCATAAAACTAGTTTTTCACCTCCAGACTAGTTTTTTACCACAAAACCGTGTTTTCGGCACAAAACTTCATTCATTATATAACAACTTCTTCAGCACAAAACTAGTTTTTCACCTTAAAATTCGATTTTCACCTCAAGACAAGTTTTTCACCACAAAACTAGTTTTTACCTGAAAACTCGCTTTTTCACTTCAAAAGAAGTTTTTTATCACAAAACTGGGTTTTCACCACAAAACTAGTTTTTTACCTCAAAAATAGTTTAACTTAAAACTAGTTTTTTTTATCACAAAAGCATATTTTCACCTCAAATGTTGCATTTCACCACAAAAGCATATTTTCACCTCAAATGTTGCATTTCACCACAAAAGTATTGCTTTCACACAAATTTAGTTTTTCACCTCAAAACTAGTTTTTCATTTAACATTTTTCCTCCAAAATTATACCTATTTTCGCTTTAAAACGGGGTTTTGAATACAATTTATTTTCCAACACAACTTTAACATTTTCTGTTTTTTTACAGTCTAAATCAATCCCTACAATGGCCTTATCGTGAGGTCTTTGCCACCGCCATTTATGATTTCGAACCCAAAGGCAATAATCAACTGCAACTCAAAACCGGCTGTCAAGTATTGGTCATAGGTAAAGATGGTGATAGTAAAGGCTGGTGGCGTGGTAAAATTGGAGAAGTGGTAAGTATGCTAAAGCCTTCATAACTTTAAAATTAAAATGTTTACATAACAAACAAATTTGCTATTCACAGGTCGGTTACTTTCCTAAAGAATACGTTCAAGAACATCCACCTACCAATGATGAACTTTGATATTATAATTATGAAATAGATTTTTCACGCAGTAAACTAGAACGTTCCCGTCTACTATTACAAAATTCCATGTCTTTAAGTAGCATGGAAGAGGAACAACAACAACAGCAACAAGAAATTTTAGTAACCGAGGGTCAGTAATTTAATTACAAGAAAAAAATTCTTTGATTGTTTTTTTTTTAAGAAATTAAATTTTATAGTTTTTGCTATAAAATTTGTTAAAATTTTTTGTTTATATATTGTTTTTTGTTTTAAGAAAAAAAGTGCCAATATTTTTTGTTAATTTTACTTTTTTTCCAATTAGTTTTTTTTTTAAATTTTTCAGTTCTTTTGGTTTTTTAAAAACACTTGCTGAATATTTTATACATACTCTCAAAAAAAGGGCATTATTAAGTAAAAAAAAAAGAAAAATATTAAACAAAAATTAAATTTAATACAGAAACATATGTGCAGCTTTAATATATTGTAGAGGATTTCAAGGATTTTATTTTTATATATATATATTTATAATAAAATCCTTGTTATTATATATAAATAAATATACTATATACATATATAGAAAACAAAAATTAGTTTTTAAATAAAATAATGAACAAACAAAATAAATTATTATTAAAGAAATTATGAAAAACAAACTCAACTATTTAAACAGAAAATAAAGAAAACTATTTTATGGTAGAAATTATTATTACATATATTTAACTATATATTAAAAAAAAAAATTAATTAATATTTATAAAGAAAATCATATACATGGCAAAATTTTAAAGAACTTTAAAAATATTAAAGGATTTCTTTCTGTAAATGCTTTATTAAACAACAAATTGTAATAAACTTTTAAGAAAATTAAAAGTTTATTTACTTTTCTATAAATTTTGTTTTTATTTCTAAAGTTCTTTAAATTATTTGCATTACAAACATTCAAAAATATAGTTTTGTACAAAACATTTTACTTGTAAAATGAAAAGAAGAAATATGTCAATAGTTAAAAGAATATAATTATATATTTATACATATAAAACTAATCTTATTCTTTCACTTTATTGTAAAATTCTTAAAATTATTAAAGGACAAGTATAGTTTATTTGATATTCTTAATATGTTTAGAAATATATTACAATATATAATATATGGATTAGTAAATATGAAATTTGAACAGTATAAGAAGAAAATTAACAAAAAAAAAATATTTGTTCGGTTTCCCTTATTTAACAGATTTTCATATATTTTAGTTTTAAATTTGGTTTGAAAATATTATAAAGAACCCAGAAAGGTTTAGAAATATTAAGTTTGGAAACAATAATTAGTTTTATTATAAAGTTTTTGTAAAAATTCAATTTTAAAATAGAAATTTGTTTTGTTTTTCTCAGTGTTACAACTAAAAATTTGTTTTGCTCCTTAAAATTAGTTTTTCACCTCAAAACTTGTTTATCATAACGTTTTTTTTTTCTACTCAAATTGATTTTTGTTTTCTTTACAACACTTGTTTTTCATTATTAAAGTAGATTTTCAACTCAAAACTTTTTTTGTTCACAGAACGTATTTTTGCCATATAAGTTGTTATTCACCACAAAACTAGATTTTCACCTAAAAACTTGCTTTTCACCTAATAATCACCTTATTTACACTATGAAATTAGTTTTTCACCCCAAAAACAGTTTTTAATTCCAAAACAAGATTTTCACCATTAAACTCAAAACTTTCAAAACTTTTCACTTTAAAACTAGTTTTTTACCTCAAAACTAGTTTTTCACCTTAAAACTTGTTCACCACAAAACTAATTTTTCACTTTAAAACTAGTTTTTCACTTTAAAACTAGCTTTTCACCTTAAAACTCGTTGTTCACCACAAAACTAGTTTTTCACTTTAAAATTAGTTTTTTACCTCAAAACTAGTTTTTCACCTCAAAACTAGTTTATCACCACAAAACTAGTTTTTCACTTTAAAACTAGTTTTTTTACCTCAAAACTGGTTTTCACCACAAAACTAGTTTTTTTCACCTCCAAACTATCTGTTCACCCTAAAACTAGTTTTTTACTTCAAAAACAGAATTTCACCACAAAACTAGATTTTCACCTATTATTCACCTTAACAATAGTTTTTCACCACAAAATAGCTTTCACCACAAAAAACTTTATTTGACCAGAAAACTAGATTTTTCACCTCAAAACTTGATTT